ACAAACGCTACCGGAGAGAAGATAATGGATATGATGGTCGCCGTGGCAGTCCCCGTGGTGGCTATGGCCCTCCCGACCGAAGGTAATCTTCCATCTCCTATGCTACTTTTTTCTTAGGAAGCTTTTGAAATCGGAAGTTGAACACCGGACTTTTTTGCTTTTCCTTGTCAACGAAATGAAAGTGCATAAGTCTCTATTTCCAGTTACATTAGTTAAGCAAAATACTCGTCAATCCTTGTGTTAGAAGGAAAATTATATGCTGGAAAAAATTGCAATGCCTCTGTATTGTCCTCTTATATCTAATCAAACTACGTTTCTCACACTTATATTGTCCTCCTGTATCGATGATCTCATCATTTTTGAGATTTCCTAATTGGTGCAAACTGCTTCTTTCCAAATGATATAGATTCGGGTATGACTACGGTGGTGGATATGATCGTGAAATGGGTGGGAGGCCTGGTTATGGTGATGAAAGGCCTCAGGGCCGCTTTATGGGTCGCTATCAGGGTGAGACATCTGTTCTGTTGACAGAATCAGTATGAGCAATTTTGCATCTGGTTTTCTTGTCTTTTGATATATGTTTAAAATGACTAGCTTTTAGACTTTCTTTAATATTCGGAACTTCTCCTTCATTGAGTAGCGTAGTTCATACATATTGCTACCTTTGTGTTTCTCTCTATATGCAGTGGCTTGGAAACTATTTGAGCAAATAATTCACCATTCATTTAGTAGAAGAAGGATATTAATATCTACCTTTTTTMRTTTMTMTWTTTCTCTTGGCAGACTGGGAGGGCGGTCGTGGAGGTTATGGTGATGCTCCCAACAGTGGAAGTACTCAAAGGTTAAGGTTCCTTTGTGTTTGTCGGGTTTATCCTACGCTGTTTAGTGGATTTTTAACCTACGCTGTTTAGTGGATTTTTAATCTAGTAAAAAAATTAGGATTATCCATGTAGAATGATAGAGTAAATGTTTGAGCACACGATTGATCAGATTAGTTACTAAAAAAAAAAAATTCTCAAACATGCGACATTGAAGTCTATTATCTCTATTCCATTATCGCCGTGGAGTATGAGAGATGGCTATTATTTCATTCCAAGTGTGTAGTTTCAATCTCTTTTACTGTTTCACAACAGAAACCCAACTAGTGCTGTTTCTACACTCCCTTGCTGTTATATTTAACAATAAATATTGTTGTATTTCTTTTATCCAGGGACGGATTAATGTCATACAAACAGTTTATCCAAGAGTTGGAAGATGATATATTGCCATCAGAAGCTGAACGCAGGTAAAGTTATAACTGCAACTTAGTCTTCACGTCTAAGCAGTTGTCTCGTATTGCTGCAGGGGTAATGCCTTTTTTCCTGATGCAGATATCAAGAATACATGACAGAGTATATTACAACACAGAAACGTGTCTTTTTTAACACTCACAAAGAGGAAGAATGGTGATTTCGACTGTCTGTTTCCCTCTTTCACATTATTCTGGAAAAATTCTGCAAGCTAAGCTATTAACATGCTTATCTCTATTATGCATCCAGGTTGAAAAATAAGTATCATCCAACAAATCTACTCTCTGTCATAGAAAGGTGGGTTCAAGAACTATTTGCAGCAGTTGAATCTAGTTTTAGTAATCACCATTCTCTGATCTCTTGTAGTCTTGATTAAATTTTTTCGTTATAAAAAATAATTTTTATTTATTTCAACTGTATATATTCCTTTGTAATTTACAGGAGGAATGATCTTGCACGGAAGGTGGCAAAGGATTTCTTACTTGATTTGCAGAGTGGGACGCTAGATTTGTAAGATAATTTCTTTGGCCTTTACTCCGCATTTATGATTATGATCACATTTCTGTCATTTCAAAAGCTCACAGTGTCCTCGCGATCTGTTCCAGAGGTCCTGCAGTGACTGCAGTGAATAAATCCGGGCGAACCAGTGAGCCAAACTCTGAGGATGAAGCAGCTGATGGTGGTAAAAGAAGAAGACCTGGTAGGGGTGAAGCTAAAGAGACTGAACTTCTTTCAGCCGCACCGAAAGCACCCAGTTTCACTTCTGATCCAAAGAGAATCTTAACTGACATTGAACAAGCACAAGCCCTTGTGCGTAAGCTAGACTCTGAGAAAGGAATCGAGGAAAATGTTTTATCAGGTTCAGAAAATGATAAATCGAATAGAGAAAAGTCTCACAGTGGTTCAACTGGCCCAGTTATAATCATAAGGGGGTTGACATCAGTGAAAGGCCTTGAGGGTGTTGAATTGCTTGACACGCTTGTCACATATCTTTGGCGTGTTCATGGTGTGGACTATTATGGAAAGATTGAAACGAAGGAAGCTAAGGGTATGCGGCATGTGAGAGGGGAAGGAAAAGGTTCTGTCGCAAAAGGAGATGAGAGCGAAAGTAAATTTGACTCTTATTGGCAAGAGAGGTTGAAAGGTCAAGATCCCCTGGAAGTGATGGCTGCTAAAGAGAAGATAGATGCTGCCGCTATTGAAGCTTTAGATCCACATGTCCGAAAGATTAGGGATGAGAAGTATGGTTGGAAATATGGTTGTGGAGCCAAGGGCTGCACAAAGCTTTTTCATGCTGCTGAATTTGTGCACAAGCATCTCAAGCTGAAACACAGTGAGCTTGTCGTGGATCTGACTGGCAAAGTGCGGGAAGAATTGTATTTTCAGAACTATATGAAGTACGTAGGGTTTTTCTCTTGTATTCCTCTTCTGTCATTTARGAAGGTATTGTAATGAAAGAATTATGTGCCGTTTGCAGTGATCCTAATGCTCCAGGGGGACAAGCAGCCACACAGCAACCTGGCCCGGTACTTTTTGTCGTTTTTTGGAATGCTTACTAGTCTGAACTTTTTTGGTTTTCCTTGTTTAGTTTTGTGTAGAGTTTACTTATGCGGGTGAGATATTATTCGT